AGCAGTTTATTAGAGAAACAAAAAATGAAAAATAAAACTTTCAAAAATTAAAAAGCGAATGTTGCAACAAAGACCAATAATCGACCTTACACGAACATTTCTCATTGTAGCAATATTAGTCTCATTTTGTATCTTTATAAGTTTTTTCAATAATTTATTTTACTCTTCTCAAGTGAGAATTGAAAAAAAAGATATTTCGACACCATTAATGAATGATGAGATATATTTTGATTATGCAGGAGCAGCTCCATATACAATTGAACAAATAGATCAATACACAGAATTTATGAAAAATAACTTTTTATGTAACTCTCGTTTGTTTTTTAATTAAATTATATAATAAAATCAATAATAAAATAGATTCACCTAATGTTTGTGGACTAAGAAGTAGTGAAATAGTACAAAACACAAGGGATATAATATTAGAATATTTTAATGCACAAGATGATTATATAATAATATTTACAAGTGGATGTACTCAAGCGTTACGTATTATTGGTGAGTCATTCCCTTTTGAACAAGGGAGTCAATTTATTTTTACAAAGAGTAATCACAATTCGGTGCTTGGTATTCGCGAATTTGCTAAACTTAAAAAAGCTTCATTTTTATCAGTAGATGAATACTCTTCTTCTTATTTAAAAACTATTACTCATCCATCATTATTTGCTTTTCCTGCTGAGGATAACTTTAATGGAGTTCAATATCCATTAGAATGGGTAGAAGACATTAATAAACATACGAATTGGTACAGTTTAATTGATGTAGCTGCTTTTGTTAGTCATAACCCATTAGACCTTAGTCAAATCAAACCACATTTTGTTACATTATCATTTTATAAAATTTTTGGGTTTCCTATGGGAATTGGGGCTTTGTTGATGAGAAAAGATGTTGTAGATAAAATGAATCCAATTTACTTTGGAGGGGGTACTGTATATGCATCATTACCAAATATAGACTATCACGTTTTTTTTGGACTTTCATCAAAATTTGAAGCAGGAACATTACCTATATCATCAATTGCAGGAATAACATATGGATTTGAAATGATTAAGAAAAGAGGGGGTATTAAATCAATTCAAAAACATGTAAAAATATTAACACAAAAATTAGTAACATCACTGAAACAAACAAAATTTGAAAATGGAAATCCAGTATTTGAAATATATGGAAATCATTTTAAAAATTCTTCATTACAAGGAGGGATTATTACATTTAACATTCATAAAAGTGATAATTCTTTAATACTTACTGCTTCTATTAATTCATT